CTCTGGCTCAGCATTAGACTGCTGAAGCCGACAGCCTCATTTCAGCCTCTCCCTCTCTCACACACCATCAGTTCCATACTATATGGCTTTGAGAAAACCTGGCAAAAAGGGGGAAATTTGTCCTTTGAAGCTTATAAAGTTAGGAAACTAGATAGACTCAGCCAGGAGAATTCCTCCCCCTTCCCCTGTCGCGAGACACACGCCAACGTAAAGAATTCCACCTGACCCTCAAATGGCATCAGCCAGGCCTCTTGACTGCATCACTGGCCAGGAGCCCTCTGAAATGTGGCTCTCACTAGGGCATGTCACAAGCACGCAGGCTAGCTGTGTTCACTGTGGTGTGCTGTGTAGGGTTTGCGTGGGAAGGGGTGTCTGATGGTGCTTTTTGGCAGAGTTCTGCAAACCAGGAGTAAAAGTTCCAAAAAGGTTGCAGGTGAGACTACAAGTAATTCTACGCTGGTTTCTAAGTTAAATCCTGGTCGGTATTTTGAAGCTCATGATAAATATATACCCAAAAAAGGGGGATTTAAAATAAATAACCATTGTGGCTGTGGACGCAGCTTGTCTGGTGAAAGAAGTTTCTCATGTCAGTGCCACTCTCTCCAGGGACACAATCATGTGCAACCATTCTGCTAGCAGATTTCCATGTTACAAAACAGTTATCAAACTAGCCTTCAGAGGCCCGGGACGCTTGTAGTGTGGGGCAAGCAAATCCAGGCCTGAACCATGCGACTCTGGGTTTTTAATCTCCCATCTGAATTGGAGAATATTCCTGCCCAATGCCTGTTCCCCAGGACCGACGGCATCTTCTCCTTACAAATTACTCAGCAACAGTGGTAATTCCAGAGAAATATAGAAAGAAAAATGCAAATGCATCAGCTAGTGTCTAGAGAAGGTCAGAAAATAGTGCCGTTTCCGTCAGGTGCCAGAGCTCACCTTGGAATCAGGTGGGGGGGAGAGGGGAATCGCTTTTGGTAAAGTTTTTTTTCCTTGGTTCTCCTTCCCTTCCTGATCATCTTGAAAATATCAGAGTCCTTCCTCATAGGACAGGGAAGTCAAGAATGCAGGGAAAAGTATCTAGGGCAGGAAATATCACATTGTTTTGAAAAAATAAAACCTCTGTCCTGCAGACCAAGGTTCTTCTGAATCATGAGGCGTGGGAAGGGAATAAAGCGACACACACCTTCCCCACGACAGTCTCAGCTCAATGTAGATCGACCCAGAGGGACTGTGAAAGAGAACACACACACACACAAGTTAGACACCGCAGGAATTGCCATACCGGATCAGCCAGTCTTGTGGCCTCTTTTGTACATTGGGTCAGTAGCAGACGCTCCTGAGGAAGTTCCAAAAATCTTCATTTTAATAGTCCACTGCTCCAGGCGAGCAAGCCTGCAGAGGCAGAGTGATGCTAATCCTAGTAGTCAGGCTTGTGCCCCGAGACAAGATTTATTTTCTTTATAAATATATTCCTTGTCTTACTTTATCCTAACGAATACAAAGCACAGACTGGAGCTGGATCAGCTTCTTTGCCTGAGGCTACTCCATCTCCCACTGGAATTTAATAAAACCTGCTCTCAGGATCTATTTTCAGTAATAATCCACATCCAGTTTGGAACCCCGCATTTCCCGTTTACACCAGATCCACACAGTCACTTGGAGCACAGCCCCTTGCAAGAAAGCCTCATAAAACACATAGACCTAAAGGGACAATAGATAATCCAAATCTCAGTGTTTCCCCCACTTCATACAGGAAACCCCTACAGAGTACAGCAGTTACCCTAGCAATGGTATTTAGGAACTAAGCCCCTTGAAACATTTTTAAGAGCAACTGCCATTAAAATGCACCATTTCTGGGACCACCATGTCCAGCATGTGTGTAAAATCTGAAGCGACACCTCTGATGAGGTCTCGATCTACAAGACATAATAAATCATGCAGGAATTTCATAGGCTCCTAACGACCAGGGTTTAAACGACACTCTCTTTGTAAGAACACTTTTGAGGAAGATGTGTAGCGCATTGGATCGAGCCATGGGGGAGCCCAGCAAAAAAGTCCAGGACTGGGAGGATGGGCCCTTCCAGTGCCAACTGTGACAAAGTGGAAATCTTCTGTCACATGAGAAGGAACGGATATGCTGGGAAGTACATGGTGTACGTGTAGCCTGTTACTCCCAGGATGAGACACACAAGGTGGGTGAGGTAACACGTACCGGACCAGCTCCTGTTGTCTCTCACCAACAGAAGTTGGTCTAATAAAAGCTACGTCGTCACCCGCCTTGTTGCTCATGCTTGAAGTGACATACTTGACTAGGATTTAGGGATGTATGCAACTAGTTGACCACCCGATTAGCCGAGGCTTATCGAGTCGAGTCACTACTCAACTGGTCAATTCCCCCACTCTTGTTGCCTCTATCAGAGGCAGCCA